ACAAAAACCAAGCTGCAGGTACCTACACAGGCTCTAAATATCATTTTAACCTTGACAGTGTTTAGAAATCTGTAGGCTGAGGCGTGATCCCATTCTGCAGTTTTTAATGAGTGAACATGCATCAGGCAAGCTGTGGTACCTGCCAGAAACGTGACACAGGATGGGCTGTTCCCAGCACAGCCTCAGTCATGGGATATTTCAGTCACTGTAATGTAGCTGAGCTCCTGAGCTTCAGGCACTGGGTTTAGGCTGCAAATTGCAACAGATACCTTGAAAAATTTTACTGTCCAAATCCTTTGGGCTCTTCCTTTCAAGAATTCAGGGATAAGCTTCTGCTGTGAAGCTTATTTAACATGTTAAGCTTATCTTATTTAATATAACATATATTTTTATGTGCAGCTGTATTGCTGTGCAGCCTGACTTGCTCTGTTCCAGTATCTGTGCTGCCAGTGTGATCTCTGCAGGAAGAGGCTGTTCTCTGCAGGTTCCTCCCAGCCCTCTCTCTCAAGTCTCTGGGCCTGTAACATCCCCATCATAGTTTGTTGTGCACGGATCACTAAGCAGTTTCCTTTCTCTTAGGGCACCTCTGTTCTGTGTCCAAGTGAATCTTCAGCAGCTCCTGTGTGATTGCTTTCCTGCTCCTTTGAGGGCCCAGTAAATAAGGAGGGGGATGGAAAGCACATTGTAAACATGCTGACAGAAAAGAACAAAACAGCCCCTCAAATCTGCCTTGTCTGCCTTACCCTCTTTTCCTGCATGCTTTTGCTTTCTTTTCTACCATTTTCTCCTTTTTTTCTTTTTCCATCTCCTCCCCCAAATTCTTTGACATTTTTTTGATACCCACTCCTCTTTCTTTTGGCACTTACTACTCTGAAAATATTTCCTTCCTCCCTTATAGTCTCTATTTCTCATTTGGAGGGATTGTTTCAGGGCCTGTGTGGGAACAAATTAAAAGGGGGATTAATTCTGTTTCTGGCTGCATGGCTTGCATCAGTTCTCTGCCCATTCTTCTCTCCCACCCCAGGTACTATGTGTTTAGAAAGTACCCTGCTGTTTCTCTGAATGCTTTCAGCAGGGTAGAATCTGCTCTGGGAAGGTTTTTGTGCTTATTGATGCTAGCAAAAGAAGTACAGTTATTTTATATCTGTTATTTAAGCAAAGCAAGGAAAAAAGCTCTTCCCCCCCCCTCCCCCCCCAAGATGTTACAATATCCAGTTAACTAAATTATTTTCTTAGGGCCCTAATTATAGTTTTGTTCCCCTTTGTTAAAGGGAGGCTCTTTGTGCTCTGCTCCCAGCCTGCTGGCCTGTCTAATGTGCTGGAATTGATGGGCAGGTCTGACCCTTTGTGCAAGACCTGTTCCTCTGGCTTCCCTTCCCAGGTAGGAACAGCACAACCACTGAGATCAATGATCCTGAATCAAAACAGCTACAGCTGTTTGGTTGTGAGCAGCTGTGAGAGAGCACAGTGCTGTCTGGTCCTTTAATTAGGAGGAGACTCAGGTGAGGGAGCCCTGTGTCTCAGGAAAACAGGGATTTGCAGGCTCTTGGCAAGAAATTGGATTTCTTCAAGCCATAAGGGACCTTGTCCTGGCTCACAAGCCTCTCACTAAACTCTTCTTCAGCAGATGGATCCACCAGGACTGTGGGTGTATGGCTCTAGGGAAAGTGCTCTTCTTGGTGTCTGCCTGTATTCTTTTAACAAGGATAAGTCTACATTCTGTTCCTGGCTAAAGCATCTTTCTCTAAAACACTTTAATTGGGATAAATGGATAAATTTGAGCTTTATTCTGAATGGGAAAGAATGTACCAAAGTTTCCAAAGGATGGTAACAATAACTTCTCTTCTGTACTAGATAGAAGAACTTTCTTTTTCAGGAGATGTGATGTTTCAAAGGAGCACATTTTGGGAACCAATTCCCTGTGACAAGGACTGTTTTAGAAGATTAAGTTAATTAGTGGGAACTTGTGGGAAGAAAAACATAAAAGTAATAGCCTTTAGTTATATTGAACCCTGAAGTTTTCATTGAAAATATGAATGCCAGAATTTTAGGTGATGTTTTTATTTGGATATTAATGCAAGAATAATTAGTGTTATGGATATTCCAGCTTACAAGTGATTAATAATAATGGATTTTTATATGAAGAATGTAATACAGAATTAGGCTGAAAGCAAACACAGCCCTTATTTCTAGCTGTTTATTTCTAGCTGTTAAAACTTTCAAACTAAAAATACTGTCTCTGTGTGCATCTCTGTATGTCAATTTAATGTTCAAGCCTTATGAAACTTGTCCCAATTTTTACCTATTGTATGATTGTAGACTGTATTTACCGCTGTGCATATTGAGATATCCCTATTGGGAGGATGGACACTGCTAGTTTTCCTAACAAGGTACATATTTGCTGTTTCATAAAGCAGAAAATGTCTGAAATGTTTCATTAGGGAAATTCATAAAGTACCAATATATCTTCTGGAAGCTCAGCTCTTGGAGCTCCTTGGGAGATTTTTTTGGCTTAAGTTCTCTTCAGAACTCAAAGTACACCAAATTTAGCCTCTCATCTCAGAAACCTTCCCATACACTTAAAAAAGTTGTAGTGCTTATGTGAAAACTGTGATTATGACACATCTGAGTTGGTCTCCCTCTTTCCCCTTGAGTTCTGAATTCCTCCTCTCCTTGCCCTAATTATATCCTTAAAACAGAAAGTATTGGAGGACTTGGGAAGATGTTCCCAGCCATGGAAGCAACTCTCCCAGCAGAGCTTCTAGTTTGCCTCATAATTTAAACTAAACTGACACAAGAGATTTTTCCCTACTGCATTTAAACAATGAATAATTTAGGATGCTTATAGAGGAAAGCACCTTGTTTTTGTGGTTCATGCTGTCTGTTCATATCTCTGTGCTGTTGTCTGTCTTGTGTGCCTGTGTAAATTGGCTTAATATGTTTGTCCATGTTGTCATGTCCCTTACAGCTGCTGCTGGTGACAGACACATGCTGCCATCGGATTTGGTCACGTCTCTGGAGAATGGTGTCTTTGGCCTGGACAGCCCTTCCAGATTCTGCTGGTTTCCCCCCCTCACTCTCCTTATTTAACCCAAGATTTCTTATTTGTGTGCATGCACAAAAATAGCCCAGCAGAGTCTCTGCTCATTTTTGTCTTCTCATCCATATCTGGGTTTTTGGTCTAAATACAGTTTTCCAGGAGGGATTTTATTGCATCAGTACAGCTGTTGTGGAAGCAGGAGCTATTGAAGCTTTTAAGAGCAGAAGGTGTGGAGTGAATAAGTATTCTTGGCTTGGTACTCCAAGTATTCAGTGTTGCTCCTTTTGGAACCAATGATAAGGAGGTTGCTATTTAAAAATCTCCTTTCAGTGTAGTTACAGGAGTTTTCTGTGCTTCGCTCTGCTCTGCTCCTGACTCCTGATGCACCCATCTAGGATGAAGGGAGAACTTCCTTAGGGTCAGCCATCCACCTGCTGCAGGTTCTAGCTGCTACTATCACAGGGAGCTCACTGGGTTCTTGAGGGCTCTCAAACATATTTTGCACATGATCAACTCTGTTTTGAGTTTTAAACCTTCTCCATGTTTAAATTGACCTAGAAAAGGTCTGTTTGCATCCCTGTGGTGTGGGATTAAAGTTTTGTTCTGTAAGGTGCCCAAAGTGGCTGAAAGGTGGTTGAGGGCTCCCCACCCTGCTGGGCACAGCCCTGGGGTGGGCTGGGCACTGTCCCTCTGCAGCACCATCTCCTGACTGTTGCCCTTAAACCCACAGGAAGCCCTATGATGCTGCAGAGACTTTGCCAGTTATTTCCAATGCTGGCTTGACCAGGAGTAGTTTTTCAGGAATATAGTGGTGTTGTGAAGCTCTTCCATTGCTGGGCCCGAGTGAACCTGCATTTTGGAATACACCCGAGATGGGGAATAAATGTATAGAAATGGGAAATATTTCCAAACAGCACTGATATTTCTGGATAACATAACTGTGAGCAGAAAAATAACCTATTTAGTCTGTCAACTCTGGGGTAAAAAGGGCTAAGACTCATTAAAGATTGTTCTGACAAGGACCAGGAAGATTGTATTTTCTGACTTTTAATTTTCCCATGGAGAGGCTGAGACAGTCTAGAACAGCTTAAAACAGAGCTGGGATTACATTTGAGTCCTCTTTCTCACCAAGTAATTTAATTCTGTTTCTTTTTGTGTTGTATGAAAATAAATAACATCACTGTTGTATATCAAATAACATCACTGTTTGAGCAGTTTCAAATCCTGGTGTGGAATGACCTGAAGAACTGTAAACTTGTCTATGGACCAAAATCCCAACTCTATCTGCTTGTGTCCTCATCCAAGCTAGGAGCTCAAATCCTTCTGTTTCTTGTAAGCTGAGATAAGATACTCTGACATTTAAAAGACCTCCCCAGCCTGGAGAATTGCCTCCTTATTTTTATTTTTTAAGAAGAATAGGAAGCACATATGAAATTGAGTAATAAACCTATTTTAGCTTTGTTTTTTAAAACAGGCTGTTCTTAAATTATAAAATCTTGTGTCAGATACCCAAATCGTGGTTAAGGAAGGAGGCGAATGTGTCTGGCATTTTCCAGCACACGTGTGGCCATATCTAACCTAAAATGAGAGACGCGAGCCCCGAGAGGCGGTGGGAGATGTCGGCGAGCAGCGGGAAGCGTGTCTGAGCCCAGCAGCCCGTGTCAGGTCCCCAGAGGTCAGACCGCGGCGCTTTCTGTGTGTTTGTACATCTCCCCTCCTCCCTTTTCTTCCCCCCTTTCCATGAGTATTTTGTCTCCTCCTCCCGTGCGTGCCCATCTTTGCATCCCCACTCTTCTCCCTCCCCTCCTCCGGATCGATCGCCGGCCGAGCTCTCCGAGGGGCCGGGCACTTAGCGGGGAACGAGGACGAGCCCTCCGTGTTTTGCCGAGTCAAGGGTATCTCTTTGGAGCTCGGCGAGCTGCTGCTGGCGGGGATGTGATTGCATAGCAACGCAGCAGCCGGGGCGCTGGAGGAGAGCAGCGGTGCTGAGCCTCAGCATGCATCCCTGTCACAGGGGCTCCTCTGCTGATTCACACGCGCAGCCCCGCTGCCCCCGCGGCTCACACCTGGCGGACTCGGAAGGTAGGCCATGACAAAATTTGGTTCCCGCTCGGATCCTGCCTGGGTTGGGAAAGGGGAGGATTTGGACCGATGGCTTAAGCTGGGAAATGCGCTCTTTGGGGTGTGTGCGTGTGTGTGTCCCTCGGCAGCAGCGCTGCCCATGCATGTGCGGGTGAGGAAACTTGCGGAGAAGAAAAGAAGGGTGTCGGGGTGAGAGCAAGAGACGTGGCCAGGATCATTTCCACAAGGGAGAGGCTAGGGACCAGTCAGGGATGCGGATTCCCGAGGCAAACCACAGTCCCCAGCATCCCGGTTTCACCGGCTGTGATGCTTTGCACATTGAAGGCTTATTTACCCCGGCGGTGTTTCCGGCCGGGCTGCAGGGGCTGCTCCGGGCAGGGTGCGCGGTGGCCTTCTAGCATCTTCCTGGGAGGATCAGGCAGCAGGGCAAGGAGGCACCAAATATCCTCACGTAGTGAGCAAGGATCAGCCCGCAGTCCCAGGTCTGCCCTTTCCAGTCACTACCTTGCACTGTCCAGCCTTGCTCCTTTATGTGTCCGCCCTCCCCTCCCCCAGCTTCTCCCCAGCTCCTTTCACTGTCGTTCCTCCTCCCCTCTAAAGCGCTTGTATTGCCACCACTGACCTTCCCCTGGATGCAGACAGCCCTGACCGACTGCAGGATTGCCTGTTCCTACAGCACAGGACCTTTCTGCTCCCCAGGGCTCAGCACTTTGCCTCCCTCTCCCTGCCAGACAGGACAGCCTGGGTTGTGCTTTCTCAAGATCTAGTGCCACAGATTATTACAGGTGCCCAGTCCAGCTTGTTTCCTTCAGCCTTAGCTCCAGCACAGCATCACAGCTGTGGAGGTCCACTGGTGGAAGTGCCAGCATTGTATTTGTGATGGATCACAATGCTGAGATCACCCATGTGCAGTGACAGGGGTGTGGAACAATTACTCCCCTGCTCTTAGATGACACTCTTTCTCTGGAAGAAACCAATGTTATTTGTATTTTGAGTTTTAATGCTGGGGGAAAAAGCCCAAAAAACCAAAAAGGTTAGTCAGTTTTTTGTCAGTTTGTTTTCCTTGTGCACTAATCCAAGGTCCTTCACACCTCTCTTGCTGCTGCTCACCTCTCTATCTTGGACCTGTGAGAGTTCTTGTTTGGTTATTCTCGTTAATGGCCTTTCCTGCCTGATCACAGTGCCCTTGTTGAGGAAGCTGTGTGAGGTCCCAGCCACAAGGTTCAGCTGTGCTGGGAGGGTTTCCATTCTCCTGGCACTCACGTGTGGTTCGTGTGCCCGCCGTGGCTCTGGTGCCATCTCACACCCTCCCCTGCCAGCTCCCTGTGCTGAAGGCTTTCTCTGCTGCTGTGGGAGCTGTCCAGGCAGGCTTCTGGAGGCAGCAAGGATGTGGTGGCACTCTGGAAAGGAACTGGACCACGGTGTCATTTTGCAGCAGTGTCCAGGAATGCCTGAAGCGCTAGGAGGGGAAGTGTTGGGGTGTCGCTGTGATGTGATGCTGTGTTCAGGTCCTCTCTGTCAGCTGAAGGAGCTCAGATGAGATGGGGATCATGTTTCTGGATTAATACCTGAGACAGATCAATGCTGCTCTCTAAAACTGGCCAGAACTGTAACTGAATGGGGCTGCTCAGGTTGGGTGGCTCTTTGCAAGACTAAACAAAGTGAGACAGAGGAGGGATTAAATTAATGGGTTCAAACAAAAGTCTTGAGTTCTGGAGTCATATGGTGAATTTCTGAATATAATCATGTTTTGAGAAATACATTCAAGGCTTCCACCTGAGCCTGGATGTCTATGATAAAAGCATAACAAAGGAATTATAAGTCTTGTGAAATAAGGCATCTTGACCAGAAAGAATTCAGTCTTCAAAAAACTGTCATTTTCATAGGTGTATGAAGATGAAACCAGTCTTTTCAGAATTGAGCTAAAATAGCACCTTTACTGTTTCCCTTTGCATAAGAATAGTGTCACTCTGATACAACTTAAGTAGGGGTAGGAAATGTGACTCCATGGGGCACACAGTCTGGTCATAAAATTCATGGCCTCAGAAGGCCAGAGACCCTTGTGCTTTGGCAGGGAGTTGATTATAAAGATGACCTCGGGGGCAAGGCAGAGTATTCAGTTTAGAGAAGCAGGTGCCAGCTTTGCAGTGAGAGAGAAGCAAAGTGCCAAGGCAGTCAGGAGTCAGCAGTGTTACCTTGGCCATCAGAAGTGAGTGTGGGTGTGCTCTTCCCACTATTGTTGATCAGTTACACAGCATGAAAAATGGGTGATGTGCTTTTCACAATGCAGCAAAACTTGTTTGCTGCTTCCAGCAGCAGGCAAGGGAAGTTTTGGGTGTTTAGAGGAGAAAGGCAAATGCAAGGCTTGAGGTTTTTGCTGGCTTAAATTGGCAGGTTTCAGGGCTGCAGAAGCCACATTTCTGAAGGAATGTCTTCAATTTTTATGCTTGGTGCAACCTTCTTTTGGTCATTAAGTGATTTCCTCCCTGTTCTGCTGTCCCTTTTGGGAGGTTGCTGCTTGCTCTCCTCCTGCCCCTTCTGTCTGTCAGGTCTAGCAGGCAGCAGTTTCTGTGTCCAGCACAGCAGGGCTGTGGGCTCACAGCTGGGTTCTCTGCCTGCTTGAGTCATTATTTCAGTATTTTAAGCTGCTAAGAGATGGGAAGAGTTTCTAGGAAAAATCAGCTTTAGAGGAAACAACTTAAAACCCAGCTGGGCGTCTGAAATGACATGCAAAAGAAATTTAGGTTTTTCAATCTTCCTTAAAAAAATCCCCTAAGTTATTTTTGAGCAAAGAGGAGGGTAGTCAGTTTTGCATGACCATGTTGTGGGCAAACACCCACACTCACCTGGTGAGGTGGGGACATCATCATTGCCACATTTCCTAGTACAAAGCCAACTGGTGAAATCTTTCCGCTTGAGACTGTGTGAGAGTGTATATTCTGTTGCTTAGGAAAATGGAGAGTGAGTGAGCCAGGGGGAAAGGATGCTTCTTCCTTATTAAGTCTTGTGGCACCTGTTTATCCATTGAATTAAAGCAACATTTTTGTTATAAGCTCAAATTCCAAGTGGCCATTTAAGAAAGGAGCTCATTAGATGTGAGAGTCCCCACTTCACCCACCCTCAGTGAGTAACACATCTTCTGTGCTGCTTGCTTGCTGCCAGATACAGCCAAGGTTTTATGTTACTTCTCATGGACAGGTGCTTCATTGAAGCACCCTTCATTTTAATTAATAAAGGGGACCTGGTTCTTTGGTGGAAGTGCAGTGTGAAGCCCAGTGGCAGCTTTGGCCTCAGATGATGGGGTTGGAAATGCTCCCACATGTGGAAGATTGTTGACAGTCCCCTTTCAGGTCACACAGGAGCACATAACAACCAAGAGGAGAATGTTGGGATGATTTTTTGTAGGAGTGTGTTTGGGTATCTATTCTGGGTTTGGAAAGAGATGGAGATGAAGGGCCTGAGCTCTGAGAGGGAATTGTGCTGTTTTTATGTTGGTCCCACTGGGAGAAAGGTTGCTTCTCTCTCACCAAACCTTGACCAGTGGGGTCTTGGGAAGTAGGCTGTTTGGCCTGAGAACTCAGGCTTAAATTATTTACTTACAAGTGCAGAAAATAATTTTTTGCTGAAACGGGATGTGTTGTTAAGCTGTTGAGGGAGTCCTGCTGTCTGCCAGCCTGGGAATGCTGCCTTTGTTAGCATCTACATGGGAGCTGAACTCTGAAATATCCACAAGCCTCCCACCTTTCCCCTTAAAGGACACTGAACATGCTGAGCTAAAATGTTATTACTTCTCTGTACTGTAAGTTAAACAACAACAAAGTCATTAACATTTCCAGCAGCAGGGAACATGTTTGTATTTCCACCCTCCTCATAGGATAAAGGCTGAGCTGAGCTGCCTTGCCTCAAGATGTTCCCATATTTTTTTCCTTATAGGCCAAGATCTAAAGTGGAAAGTTTCAGGGAAGAATGTTTTGGAGGAAATTAGGAATTTAAAGCATAAAGTGTGTGATTGAGAGATCTCTTGACCTATATGCTGTGTTTGCTGCTGTTATACATGGTAGAGAGCTGGAAATTCAATATCTGACATTACACTCTACTGCCTGTGACAGGTCTCTGATCTTGGGGGGTGCTTTTAGCCATGGAGGGTCAGCTGTAATGTGAATTCCCTTGATGTTTGGGAGAGTTTGTATATGGGTTTCTATCAGGAGGATTTTGAACAAATGCAGCAAAATTGGAGAATACTGTGCGCCATGTGCACTGGTGGTAAGCTGTCACTTTCTTTTTGGCTGGGATGGGGAAGAGGTGCTGCAGGAGCTGGGACAGCCTCTCCAGCCAGCCAGGGAGGCTGCTGCAGCAGGTCTGGAAAGCAGAGAGAGCACAGGGATCCCCGAGTGGTGCAGTGAGTTGTGTGACAAACTTGAAGCAGAGCTGGTTGGGCAAAGGCTATTCCAGCTGCCTTTGTCAGACTGCCTGGAAAGAAGGGTGTAGGACAGGCTCTCCAGTGCTGAATTTGTGACAGGTACAGCTCATGTAGGAAGGGAAAAAAGGCAATTATTTTGTTTTAATGCACTTTAATTCCCAAGCATTCAGCTGTTGAAAAGTAACATACAGATTTTTAGCTTTTTTCTTTCTCATCTAGAGGCTCATCAAGGTCTCAGCTGTGGTGGTGGCTTGGGTACTAATGTGTTTAGAAGGTCTAACACACACTGTGGAACATGCACTGCTTCATTTCTTAGGTGTACTGAGAGCAGAGGCAAGTGTTGAGTGCTTTTCATGGGGGAGGATGCAAAAGAGCACCAGGTAATGAGGTTCTGTCTGATGCTCCTGAGGACTGATCTGACCACCTTTGTGCCTGGAGTGGGACCTCCAGCAAAGACAGGTGACAGACACCAGTGGAAGAGGTTTCCCTCCTTGCTGTCTCCACTGGGTGAGTGCAGTGCCCCTGTCCCTGCTCCATGGTGACTCTACAACTGCTTCTTGCAGTGTCCACATGTGGAAATTCTCACCTGCTTCTGCTCACCTGAGCCTTAATGTTTGTTCTGCTTGCACAGAAATGTGCCCAGGGGACCAAGCTCACTTTGTATCTGTTTGAACAACCTGACCACGTTGTTCCCTGAGTCCTCCAAAGGAGAATTTCACAACTCCTTTAAAGTTAGAGGCTTGGAGTAAGCTGTGGGGATGATACTTTTTGTTGTCTGCACTTAAATCTAGTTTTCATTGTGATGTTGAACCTTGGCTATAATGTGCTGGGTCTCCACACCAAGATAAAGCAGAGTGCAGAAGATGAATGGTGGTGTGGGAGAGGAAAAGTGGATCACAGGTTTGGCTCTTGACAGGCGTAGGCATCAGGCAATAGGAATTTAGCCAGGAAGCATCCACAAAATCTCTGCTCCACATGCTGCAGTGCCCAGCCCCAGAGCTGTATGGAAGCACTGAAGTAGGAGTGCCAGAACTGGAGCTGTTTTGTGTGCCTCAGCAGAGAGGCAGAGCAGCTCCAAGAGCATTTCTCCTTGCTTGGTTCCAGTAATAGCAGGGAATTTGGCAAGGGGTCATATGGAGCTGTTGGCTTGCCTGCAGACATGCCTCTCTGTCTGGTTGTCTCTCTCTCCTCCTGAATGTGCTCCTTTGTGCTGGCTACTGTGCAGCTCAGTCAGTTCCACATTATCTGAGTTCTCTACCTCTGAGCTTTGTCTTTGCTGTTGCAGAGTGGCAAAGGGCAGCTGAGCCACTGCCCTCCAACCTGCTCTGGTGTTTGTGGCAGCAAGGTGCTGCACAGGACATGACTGGGTAGTGCCCTTTGCTTGGCACTTGGCTTGTTCTGTGACTGCTGCCTTGGACAGGCTTTAGTTCCCTGGGCCATCTGTGTCCTGATGGGCTTTGTCATCCCTGGAGGAGGTCAAGGAGCCCAGCACCCCGGAGGTGCAGCCATGGCTGTCCTTATTTCCATGATGCTGGCAGGGGGCGTGGACACCCTCCTGGTCCTACACGAGGATACCTGCAGGACAAGGTTACCCACCCGTGTCTCAGAACTGCACCTGCCCCATGCACACACCTCTGTCACTTGGCAAAATGCAGTCAGAGAGAGCTCGTGACCTTGCCAGTACTGCCCCTGTTCTCAGTGCCATGGCAGGAGCTGTCAGGGGCCAGGCTGTGCTGGGAGGACTGAGCAGGGAGCCCCTGTGTGTGTGCTGTAGGAGGGCTGGCTGAACTCGTCTGGCCAGCACACGTCACTTGTTACTGCCCTGTGCCACAGAAAAAGCCAGGCCTCGGGATGGCAACTACAGTGAGGCATCGCAGAACCTCAGTGGCAAAAGCCATGGATTTGCCAGTGCTGGGGAAGAGCTCAGTGGCATTCATCTGTTAGAGGCTTTGAGGAAAAATAGCTTTCCACACCCTGAGAATTGTATCTTGGCCATTCAGAGGAACAGAGCCCAAATGCACAAGCACTGGAGGAAAAGGAGGTGGTGTTACCTTCTGTCAGAAATTTTCTGTACCCTTGGGGTTGGGTGTGGTAAATTTGCACCAAGAGCCTGGAGGGCTTTGAAGACCCTGGAATTTGCAATTATTAATGTGGGTCTCATAATCCCCACATAATCCCCTGCCTGCATGGGGAAAGGAGCAGGGATCCACAGCCTGCAGTGTTCATTGGTGTTAATGGGCAGGAGAGGGAAAGGACGAGACCTTGGATTGTCAGCCTGCTGGAGAGCTCAGCACAAGCTGTTCTCCTGGAAAGAGAGGAATTATGGCTGTAAAAATCATTAAGAGATTAAAAAAAATCATAGGATAATCCCTTAATGTGTGTAATTGAGGGGAGAGAGGCAGTGAAGGCTCAGGCAGGGGAGTGGGGGCTGTGGAAGTGTCAGAGATGGGCAGTGTGCACAGGGCTGGGAGGATTTTTCCTCACCCGTCTGTGCAGTGTGGCTGCTGCCAGTGGGGATGTGCTGCCCTCTCCTCTCCTGCCCTGCCAGGGCCAAGCAGAAGGTTCCCCCAGCTGCCCAGCTGAGCTGGGTGTGAAGGAGCCAGCAGCCTTCTTCCATCAGCATCACTCATTGCCCTGAAAGCAGCCTCACATCCACGCAGGCATGAGCTCCGTCTGCTGGAGCAGGTGATCTTTACCTTCTAAATGTAGGAAAGCAGTCACCAAGTTTTCTCTGAGCTTTATTTCTCAGGGCTTCTGTAAAGCTGAGATGGTGCTGGCAATGGAATGAATCCCTCTTTTAGCTCATTTAGAGTCCAAACAACAAAACCCAGCAGCATTGTGACCAGAGGTCACATTTCAGATCTATGGAATAGTCAAGGGGCCACTACTAACTGGCTTTACAGCTCATGCAGTTAAAAAATGGGGATAAGGAAGGGACTTTTATAACCATAATGAGCAAAAACTCATAAAAAGCTAGCTCACAGTATGAGATACATGAAGCTGGGGTTCTAGGCAATTTGCCTTCTGAATATAAAAGGAAAAAATATGTTTGAAAATGTTGTCTGTTATGGAGATATGTCTGTTCTGTCTAAACATAAGTTGTTCTGGATTAAAAACCATACTAGTGTACCACCTGCTAGGAAGAAAGTGAATGTTATGTTAACCAAAACTAGAACAATGGCCATGCTAGTGAGATCCTCTCCCTTTAAACCATGGGCATCTTATACAGTTCAAGAAACCCAACCCTTTCTGAAAATGCAGTATAGTCTGTGGGACTTACTAACAGTGTATCAATACAGCAAATTGTGTAACTAGGTGTAAAAAAAGAGTTGGGTGTTTAGATGAAACAAGATTGTAACACTAGTGTGGCAAGGACATTTCTCTTCCTCTCAGGATTTTTCATAGAGGTGCACAGAGAGAGATGAAAGAGAAAACAATTTCTATTTCTGCTCCTTGTTTTTCCTATGTGGAATGTGCTTGTAGAATTGTTTACCTTGAGTGAGTTCTTGATTAGATTCCGGTGAGGATTGTTTGAGCCTGATGGCCAATCCAACCCACCTGGGGCTGGACTCTCAAGAGAGGGTCACAAGTTATGTTAAGATTAGAGATAGGGTGAGAAAAAATATGTAATTTTAGTATCCTCCTTTTATATAATACATTAATATATCTTAACATAGTTATAATAAAGAAATAATTCAAGCTTCTAAATTAAGTCAGACATCATCATTTCTTCCCATTAAGTTTGCCTGCATTTACAATACACTAGTAGAAGTACATGAAATTAAAGACTGCTTCCTGTTAGTCTCCAGCTCTCATGGAGGCAGCGCTCTGGCAGCTGAAGGGGTCAGCCCTGCGAGGAGGTGCAAGCTAACCCAGGGACTCTAATGCTGCTTTCCAGGTGCTCCATCCCCATGACCATCAGCTCTGATGCAGCCCCTGGTGATGCAGGAATGGCTCCATGTGCTCCCGCCATGTCCTGAGTGGCACATCCTGGAGCAGGCGCAGCCCAGCAGCCCTGCCCGCCCGCTGGCTCAGGTAAGAGCTGCCTCTGGGAGCCTTGCTGGCAGCAGCTTCGTGCAGGGGTTTCTGTGGGGCAAACCAGGCCCTCTGTTCCTGCTGGGGGAAGGCTGTCAGCTCCAGCCCCTCATCAGCTGCACTTTAGGAGAGCGTGTGCTCTCCTCTAGCGCTCCTGCTGCAAAGTGTTCCCCAAAGTAGGAGAAGAGAGAGGACCTGCAGAGCTGGACTTGGAAGCTCTTTCACAATAAAGAACTAGAGGCTACTGTTAACAGCTCTTCTGTGTTTGGTTTGGCTTATTTTTCCTGGAAACTTGGAAGAATGTCAACTTTTGGTGAAAATGCAGATTTTCTACTCTTCCTGGTTGCAGAGAAGAGCTCTGAAATAAGCCCCTGGTGGATGCTATAAGGCAGAGGAGGAATCTGACCTCTTACTAATCTAATTATCTTAAGGGATAGATCTCGGTCTCCTTCTTCCTTCCCCCAGGATCTCTGAGCCCCAGGCCAGGCTCCTCACCAGAGGGGATGGAAGGTCTCTAGGGTCCCCTGGGTAAATGGCAGAGCAGATTGAAGAACAGAAAGGTGTGCTGGCAACTGTCTGCAAAGCTGCTTGTACTCTGCACTGAGCTGTCAGGAGGTGCTTTAGCACTTCTGGCGTGGGGAATTGCTGCCTGGGCTCTGCCAGGCTGTGGGTTCCTCTTTGCCTCTAGCTGTTGGTCCTGGGGTACTTCTCACCTGTCTGGACACTGATGGACAGTGCCAAAGGCTCCCTTGGGCACTGGCAGTGTTCTTCCCAGGACAAACGAGGTCCCAGCTCTGCTTTTTGCTTTTTTGTCACGTTTCAAGGATGAGAAGCAAGGGCTGAGCCTGAGGTTTCTCCCAACTGTCTGGGTTGTAGGGACAAAGCTCCCTGCTGTGGTTGGCCATCAGCCTGGACCCGTTTGCCTCAGAGAGCTGGGATCTGCAGGAGGAAGGCAGAGCTGTCTCTGGAGAGGCTCCAGCATGCAAGAATGAGGCAGGGGCCAGGCTTCTGGTGGCTGAGTCAGGTTTCTTGGCCCCAGGGTGACTGTTACAATGCTGCTGTGGGCCAGTGCACAGGTGGTTGATAAACAGCCCAGCAAATTAAGTGAGGAGGGAGAGGGATAGAACAAGATGAGCAGGAAAAAGCCTTCCTGATGTGCCTGAGCAGTCCAAGCCTCTGTGAGGGGATCAGAGCCCTGTGGGATTTGCTGGGAGAGAGGAGGGGAGTAGGAGCAGCAGTAGTGTTAATGACAGCTCCCCATTTGAAGGGGCTGCTGTTGCTGCCTAGGCAGCAGCCTCTGTCTCTTGTCCTTGCTACTCCTGAAAGCTCTTGGCAGGCTGCAGACAGCCCATCCTTAGCTGTGGCCTGGCTTCACTGAAGCCCCCTCCTCCAGTTTGGGAGCTGCCCTCCCATCTGTTGGACCCGAGAGGTGCTGAGGAGAGGAGCTGGCTGTGCTGGTCCCAGAGGGAGGGTCTGCACCCAGCAGATGTGCAAGCAGGGAAGGAGGGGAGGGCATGAGAGGGAGAGATATTGGGAGCTTTTCTTTCCCTCTCTGTAGGTGGAAGAGAGCATGATAAAAATTCTGGGCGTCAGGACTGTGGGGGACACAAGAAGCCAGCCCAGAGCTTTTTGGCAAAAATAAACTATTTGCACTTGGTCCAAGCCGGCACGAACATCTGCTGGTACCCAACACCATGCTGGGGCACGTGGGGGACAACAAGGGCATCTTTGACTTTTCTGGGATTAGATCTCAAGAACCTGTTTACCTTCTGGGTCACTGGGGCTTGATGGGATGATTTCCTGGCTAAATCCCTTCCCTGGCACACACCCCTGTCTGCTCTGTACGCGCTGGGGTATCGGAACCGCGGTCCGTGCTGCCCATCCCCGCACATGCCCTTGGCCCTGCCCTCACCTGCGGCCCTGCAGCGGCGCATCTCCGCCCGCCCGCCCCCGAGGGCAGCCGCGGGGCTAGGGCAGGTCGGAGGCTGCTGGAATGCCGCTGGACAAAGCTGGGATTGAGGCTGTGAGGCGCTGCCGCCCCCCTGCACATTCCTGGGGGGTCAGTGCAGCTCAGCCGGGCGGGAGCGGTGCGGCTCCTGCGGCCGGCTGTGCGCTGAGCGCTGCGAGATGCCCCTGCCACAGCCCGCGTGAGTGCTCTGCGGCCGGAAAAGCTTCTCCCGGGTGGACAGGGGGTGAGGGTCCGGCTGCCTCTGCCGGGATGCTGATGGGGTGCTCAGAGCTTGCAGGGGTTTTGTCCTAGGGAAGCAGGTGTTCAGCACCTGCTCTTTGCTTGGTCACTGCTACTTAGTACCTACGAGGCTTGAGAGCTGCAGGTGTGATGGGCTTTTAACTTATGAAATATAAGGCTGGGAGGACTGGGTTGTCTGCAGAGCTGTGCTGCAGGTGCACCCAGGTAGAGCTGATCCTTTCCTTTGGTATTCCCTGGGATAGAGGGGAGGGCTGGAGCATTCCCTGGCAGTGCCCTGGGACTGGCCTACTTCTGTGCCATGAAGACTTGCACACGCAGAGTATAGGTGTTTCTGTGTGCAAGCAGCAGTTTTAGCTTCAGTGGATTCTTATTCTGTGGCCCCAAGAATCCTGTGAACTCTGTGGGTGATGGTTTTCTCTGTTTTCTTGGTGTTTCTGGAGTGGCAGGATGGGGAGGCAGAGCACAGCCTGTTGGATGTTTTTAGATGAATCAAACTTAGCACAAGTCTTGGCGATCATTTGATTTTTCTCTGAGAACTGGTGTGGAAGGGGGTATTTTTAGCTGAGCAGCCAAATTCCTTGTCTGGTTGTTTTCTCTTGCCTGTTGTTTCCCTCGGCTTGGCTGCATCGCTTCTCCAGACACCTCCACGAGCCCTTGGACAGCACAAGTGACAAGTATGTACACATACATTCCCCTTGCAAGAGCTGCTGCTTTTCCCCCAAGGCACCTGTCCTTATCTGGCCTGTTGTATGCTGTTTAGAAAGTACTAACACATTTAATTATGGTTGATTATGCACCTGGGGATAATTATCTCAAGCGAGCTCTAATATCAAAGCAGCATTCAATAGAAATGCTGCCATTTCTCCAACACAGGTCATTGATGTCTCACTTATGGGAAAGTGGCCATGTGTTTTGCTCAACAAACTGTGTTTTTTGGAGAGAAAATTCCGTCTCACTCACCAAGTCTTGTATGAGTGACTTCTGATCCTGTGTGTCGCTGTCACCAGCACGTGCAGCAGAGTACATTGTGATCAGAGGCACGATGCAGTGCTAAAGGCTCAGGAGAGGATTCCAACAAGGATTTGTTGTCCAGGGATCAGAACCCAGTTTTTTCCAGCTGGATGTGCTTCCCTTGTGTGGCTGGGTTGGGATTTGCTGTCTTTTCTCCATGGCCTTTTGCAGCACCCTTCCCACGGCTGCTCCTTCTGGAGAGCTGCGGAGGAGAAGCAGCATCTGTGGAGGAGAAGTGGCTTCTCAGATATGCCATGCAGGCAGGAAATATCCTGGAGCCTCTGTAGAGGAGCAGGTGGCAAGTCCCAGGATTGGGAATGGCAAGAAGGATGTTGGCAGATCCCCTTGGTCCCTAGGAACAGCAGGATCAGCCTCCTCTCAAAGCACAGCAGCTCTGTATAACATGGGAAAAAGTCATCATTAGCCCTGCAGACACTGTGACACATAAGGACCAGCTCTGGCTTTACAGCTCTCAGCAAGATAAGCTCATTGCTGGATAACTGAAGAGAACAGGAGATGTGCAGTAAACCCTTCCTTTAACCTGTGCTCTGAGTGCTGCTGGAGATGGCACTGCATCCTTCTTGCAGAGACAGCCAGGAATTTCCTGGGAGCTGCTAAGAGACCACTTAAGGAACAGGGCAGCCCCCTTGAGAGTTGAAAAACCAGTCAGGGTTAGGGCAGAGTGGGGTGGGTGTCCCCAAGCAAGTTCCCAAAACACCAGGCACCAATCTCTGGATGTAGTGTGGTTTTTTTCTGCCCAGGTTGAAGCCTCACAGGATGGTGCAGGACCTTCGTGTGTAACCCCGCGGGCTCCAAGCGGTGCTGCCGGGCCCCAGGCCCCTCTGGAGATGAATCTTTGCTGGAACGAGATTAAAAAAAAATCCCACAGCCTTCGGTAAGAGTCCTGCCTGGAGCAAGCTCCAGGCTGGCCTGGCCTTCCAGCCTTGCCTGCTGCTTGTGATTGTCAGGAGGTTTTTGAACTTTCTTGCTTGATGAGCCACATGAATTCACAGTGACCTTGGCTCAGCTCCCCCTCTGGTCCACAGGCTTTTGAGTCTCCTTTTGCTGGAAAGCATCTCCTCCATTTCTACTCATCCCATCCTCTCCTCCCTCCCCTCCTTCCCTCCTGCTTGCTTTCTGCTGCTCTCTCTATCCTCTGCCACCTCTGCAGCTGTCTCTTTTTGCCCCATGGCTTTGCCTGCACCTCCTCTGTGCCCATCCCTTTACTGGGAGCCCTCTCCACTGCATGAGGGGAACGTGCCTTCCAGACTGTCAGAGTTTGCAACTCCACAGCCAGCATGACAGAGAGCTTAACTGGGGCGTGTTAATTGTCTCCTGCCTTAATCCAATGCTCCTGGAAGCTGCCCAGACATGTAAATGCCATTCCAAGCTCCCCTTGCTAGCCAGAGCAGTTCTGACCCACGGGCAAACACGGAATGACTGTCCTCCACTCTGGGCTCCAGGGTGAGGAATATCTTCAGTTTCCTGTCCCCAGTGCCTCCACGTGTCACTCCACCAGGCAGTGTAGCCTCTCTGCTGGCTGGGGTCACACATAGCCCATGCTAAGGTGTGCTGCTGGTCCCTGAGGAGGTCCTGGGGGTCAGCACCCAGCCATAGTGCTGTGCTTCCCCTGCCCCTCTCCTGTCTGTCTGTCATCTCACTGTCCTTGCTCTCCTGCCAGGGCTCGGCTGGAGGCCTTCTCTGACCACAGTGGGAAGCTGCAGGTGCCTCTCCAGGAGATCATTGACTGGCTGGGGCAGAAGGATGAGGAGCTGTCGGCACAGCTGCCCCTGCGGGGCGATGTTCTCCTGGTGCAGCAGGAGAAGGAGACACACGCGGTGCGTTCCTCCTGCCTCCCCCGGCCCTGCTCGGCCCCCTGCCCCTGTCACTGCCCGTGCCACTGCTGGTCCTTGAGTGTCTCCATCTCTTCTTCCTGAGAAATAGCAGAGCCCATCTGGCTTTAGACAATAAACCCACATTACAACCTCGAGTCGCCTGTAGCTGGTTATGAACCCTGTCCTTTGTAGCAGCTTCCCTATGTCCTACCTCTCACTGGCCTCTGCTTTTGGGATCCTGGAGCCTGAGAAGGCTGGCTGCTCTAGGGGCAATCCTGTGGCTGGAACATGAGTGATGCCTGCAGGAAGATGTTGTCATCATATCTGAATCTGGGGTACACCTAGGCAGATCAGAATTTCCTGCTCCCAGGTGCACAGCATTTTCTTCTCTCTGCCAGTGGCTGTTGGGCTTTAGTTGTTTTTACCTTGCAAGCAAAATTAAGATGTTTACCACTGCTATCCCTCATCCGTGCACAAAGAGCCCATCCAGCAGACAGCACTGGTGTGGGAGCTGTGGTTGGAGGGGAGGAGAGGACATACTAGACCAGCGTGCCTCTGAAGTATTCCCTGGCAGATTGTGCTGCCTTGGGGCATTCTGTTGTTCCTGCCCTTGCTCCTGCAGCAGCTGGACCTGTTGCTGAGCAGCTGCTGGAAGGATTGTTAGCGTGGCTATGCTCTCACTGCACGGGTGAAGAGCGTCTCCAAGCAGTGCCTCTGAAAACACCATAAATCAAACAGCTCCTCTTGTGCAGCCCTGGCTCAGCACACCATTCTGGGCTTGCTGTTCTGCCTCCCCACTCCAGCAAAGCTGCAGGCCAAACCTCTGCAGGAGCCACCTTCTGGCAGGTGGTCATTCCTTCCCTGAACTGCAAAAATATTTCTCTTAACACTGACTTCTCTCTGTGCCTCCAGTGAGGTTTGGGTTATGGGGTGAATAAATCATTGCAGCATTTGGCAAGGGGGCAGCCGGGGCACAACTTTCTGGCTCAGCCTGCTGTCTCATCTCTGTGCTCTGCTCTCCAGGCTTTCATGGAAGAAGTGAAGTCTCGGGGGCCATACATTTACTCTGTCCTGGAGTCAGCACAGGCTTTCCTTTCCCAGCACCCATTTGAAGAATTAGAAGAACCAACTTTGGAAAGCAAAGGTCTGTGGAGCTGCCCCCTTTTTGTTCTCTGGTTTCACAGCTCCTCCTGGGCTGGCCTGGAGAGGGTGGCGTGGAGGTTACCGCTGTGGCACAAAGCAGCACATCAGTGTTCTGCCTCACACCACGGTGCCCAGGCTGTGCCCAGTCCTTTGGCCAAAGGTCAGACTGGCACAGAGCAGTGTCACTGCCCAGGAAAAGGCAGAGGCAGTCTGTAATGGGAGCACCTCATGAGACAGCACCAGATGTGCTCTGGGGTAGGTTTTTAAAGGAAGCACAGCTTCAGCCTGTGAGGATAGAGAGGCTGGATACCTAGAGGAGCTGGTGCAGAGATGGATACTATTATTACTTGTTCTCCTTCCCCTTTTCCAGTTTTCCTTAGATTCTTTTAATCTCTAATTTCCCTGTCCTCCCTCCACCCCTTGCCCCACTCTCCTCTGGGCTGGGCCCTCATTTTTGCTCCCTGTTCCCCTCCTGCTTTGCCTTCCCAGATGTGTCTCCCCGGCACCGGATCCAGAACATCAGCCGCTTTGTCTGGAAGCAGGCCAACGTGGCCAGCGAGCTGTGGGAGAAGCTCACGGCCCGGTGCGTGGACCAGCACCGCCACATCGAACGGACCCTGGAGCAGCTGCTGGAGATTAAAGGGGCTATGGAAGAGCTCAGCATGACCCTGGACCAGGCTGAGAGCGTGCGGGAGACCTGGGAACCCATCGGGGACCTCTTCATTGACTCCTTGCCAGAGCACATCCAGTCCACCAAGGTACTTCTGGCTCTGAGGAGGCTCCAGCCTTGGCCATGCAGGTGATGAAATTCTGCTTCCAGGATGACAGAGCTGTTCCCATGGGCTGCTCAGTCCAAGGCAGCTTCATTACCTGGGATCTCAGGGCCAAGGCCTCATTCCCACAGCTCCTCTGCTTTTTTGGGGGGGTTTTGGCCAGCAGTGTCCCAAGCAACTGGCCATGCTGAGCACCTTGTCATTGCACAGACCTTGTACACCATGGCACTACAGGGACAGTGGCTAGCATAGTTGAGTCATTGTCCCCATTTCATTTATCAGGAGCAATCTGCAGCTCCCCATTTCATTTATCCGGAGTAATCTGCAGCCTAGTTAGTTTGGTTGGGTAATTTTTCCCTGCTAAGGTACCCTGCAGGAGGGTTAGGCAGTTAGTTTGCAATCATTAGCCCACCCTAACTTGTAGCAAATGAATCAGATCCAAGTCCTGGCTACTCACCTGCTTCTTTTCCTTCTTCCCCTGCTCTGTGCCTGTGTCCCCATCCCCACTGGACTCCAGCTGTTCAAAGAGGAGCTCTCTCCCATGAAGGATGGGGTGAAAGTGGTCAATGATCTTGCACACCAGCTTGCCATCTCAGATGTCCACCTGTGCATGGAGAATTCCCGTACCCTGGAGCAGATCAACACCCGCTGGAAACAGCTGCAGGTGGGAAGGAGTCAGGAGCAAGCACTGCACATAAACCTTGGGCAGGAGGGTGCTGGGAAGGGCTGTCACTGCTGACCTGCAAGGATGATAAAGTAAGGTTTGGCACAGCAGGATGTTACAGCTGGTGTTCCTGGAAGAGAAGAGCATCAGTTCAGTGTGAGGAAAGAGTCTGGTAAATCTGCAGAGATCTTGGTCAGGAAAAGGCAGTGTGAGTCTGATGTCTGTGAGAGTATCGATACAGGTGAGTTGGAGATGTGGCTGCCCCAGGAGGAGGAGGTGTGGAGGATTTAGCAGGCTGGAGGAAGACACAAACACCGAGATAGGAGATGAAGGAAGGGCATCTGTGTGCTGGGGATATCTGAGTCCACTCACAAGCCTTCCTGAGTGGGTCATCAATCCAAAATGCCTGTTGGACTGGCAGTGAATTATTTTTCAATTCTCCAGGCCTCCATAAATGAACGCCTGAAGCAGCTCCAAGATGCCCACAGGGACTTCGGACCAGGCTCCCAGCACTTCCTCTCCTGTACGTGAGTGGGCCCCCCTGGCTTCTGCCACGAGGTTGCCTCTGCAGAGCAGCCTGGGCTGTGGCACAGCAAAACAGGCTGCAAAGTCCTGTTGCTGAGCCCAGAGCCGTGCATGAGGCTGGAAAAGTGCAATGGCTGATGCCCAGTGCATGGGAGCTGAAGCAGGAGGCATCTCCAAAGTTGGAATTGTGCTGCCTCACCCTGTGGGACCAAGGATGGGATGTGAGTGTGGTTTCCCTTCAGAGCACAGAGCTGTGACACTCACAGCAGCAGCTCCCGGGGACACTGGGACTGTGTCAGCCTCAGAGAAAGACAACAGATGGCAGGAAAAGGCAGTCCCTCATATCCTGTGTTACTTATTTGGAGGCTAAAAATGTGCCTTTTCAGGAGGTTCTCATTCATGTGGCGAGGCAGAGGGATGGTGTTTTTACAGATCAGAGCTGTTGGCTGACAGCTCTCAGGCTGGGCAGCAGGTTGGGCTCCAGAGTCTGGGGTCCATCCTTGGAAATGCTGAGCCCTGCAGTCTCTGGATGTCAGTGGGATTCATTGGCCTGTGCTTCTCTGCAGGCTGTATACTCCTATCTGAAAGGAGGAATGACTTTTCCAGTTGCTGGAATTGATACACTACCTGTGGAAAAGGAAAATAACTGAGGGTCATGCTGTGGCTTCCATCCTCTATATAACACAGAGTGGCAGGCAGCTGGTCTGGGATGAATCCTCATCTTCCCACGATGCTGCAGCTGGCACACAGAGCAGGAACAACAGGAACCACAGATGCTTTGGGTGTCTGAACCTGGTTATAACAGTTAGTGCTGTGTCTCTGTGCCCAAATTCCATCTACTATGAGCCCTGCCCACTGGTCACCACAGTGTTGCCTTGGGCATCATCAAAAGCATCAGGAAATGTTTCTTCCGAAGTTCTGAGCTCAGCCAGATACAAAGCCTCTGGCTTGAGAGGCAAGGTGTCTCTAACAAGACCAGCAGTCCAGTCTTTTTTATAGGCAGCATCCTGTTGCCTGCACCAACATCTCCAGCTGGTGATTTGGGAAGATGCAGCCTTTTCAGAGGCACCCACCTGCTGGCACAGTCCTGCTGTGCCAGGGCTGGCATCAGAAACAGCAGCATCTTAGAGGAGCATTTGGTGTTGATCTGACACATGTTTCTCTCCTTGCAGCCTCTGTCCAGGTCCCCTGGGAGCGAGCCATTTCCCCCAACAAAGTGCCATACTACATCAAGTGAGTGTGCTCCCAGACACAGCCCATGGTCTTCTCTGGCCTGGAGGGGTCAGGAATTGGGCACCAGTTAGGAGAGGATTGAAGGGTTGTTAGCATGGCCATGTGAGAGTGAGAACTTGCCTCCAGTGAAGCAGATCTTCCTCAGCCTGGCAAATCCAGGCTTTCCCTGCCTGCTGGGGATGAGGGGAAGCCCCAGCTGGAAGAGGGGTGCTGGCAGCAAGTGGGAATATCCTGCTGTGGGCATCCTTCATGCTGCTGTGGCTGGGGAGTGTGCTCAGGGGGATACAGCAGCGTCTGCAGACACTGAAACACTTGCTCCCAGCGCTGGCCAGGTGCCTGTTTAAATCTCTCATGGCAGCTTTTGGTTACCCAATTGACTCCTGGTCTCCATCTGTTTTGCTTCCAGCCACCAGGCCCAGACGACGTGCTGGGACCACCCGAAGATGACAGAGTTGTACCAGACGCTGGGTAAGGAGGCTGGCACAGAACCATTTGAGTACTCTGTGCCTTTTTTGCAGCACGGGGTGCATGTGAGATTCCCCCAGGCCACCTGCTCCCCTCTGTGGCACAGGGTCCCCCAAAGCAGTGGGGTGTGACCCCTGCCAGGCTCTGCTCCTCGCTCTCCTGCGTGTGCTCTGCTGGGGTCTGAGAGCTGCAACTGCTGCTTCCTGCCCTGCAGATAAGGGTGTTGTGCTGTGGTTTTATTCCTCTTTTCCTGTGTCACTGCAGCGGATTTGAACAACATCAAGTTCTCTGCGTATCGGACGGCCATGAAACTCCGGCGGGTGCAGAAAGCCCTTCGATGTGAGTGTGGGAAGGGTTTCCCTCCTGCTGGCTCTCCCTCAGCGAAGGCTTTAAACTAACACAAGCTTTTATCAGCACATCAAAGGCAGGAGGCACCGGGGGGTAGGTAGCTGAGGCAAGAAACCAGGAAGATCAGCCTGGGAAGCTGAATGAATGCACCGGTCTGTGTCAGCACCTTTCTTTACAGCTTGGGGTGGAAATGACTCAAGGGCAGTGTTGTCCAAAGGGATATGAGAACAAAGTGGTCCAGCTCAGGGATACAAAGCTATGGGATCAGGCAGGAGCTCACCAAACAGCTCCAAAGGAGCATAGAGAATGTGTGGATGTGACTGAGAGATGAAACCAGCCTCGCTGGCAGGCACAGAGAGGGCTGCACTGCTTAAAGAGGAGGAAGGGAGCCAATAAACCTGACTTCTGCACTCTTGGTGAAAACTGGAGGATTAATAGCCAGGTGAATATGATCCAACAGGAGTTCAAACATCTCTCCAAGACATCGCTACTTCCTGGAAACTGCTGAGGAGTTTCTGGTGGAACTGGCAAGCAGGCAGGTGGGAATCTGATAGATGCAGCATCCTTGGCTGCTCAGAGCTTTTGATAAAGCCTCTCACCTAAGGCTCTGTCAAAATTAAGCAGCAGCAGGCTGAGGGAAATCTTCCTCCTGAATTAATTGTTCATGAAGAGGAGGAGGTACAGCTAGGCAGCAGTGGGGCCCGGGCAGACCTGTGCTCCTTGACATCCTGTGAAAGGGCTGGAAGAAGGCAGTGAGTCAGGATAAGAGGAGTTTGGGTTCTCAAGGGAGTCGAGCCCTGGCTGTGGAGTATTTTCATAACACTGTGGTGGTCAGGCTGTCCTGCACCCAGGGACATTCGGGGATGATGTAATGCAAATGGAATAAAGCTTTTGCCACCCTGTTAAGGTGTCCATGCAGCAGCAGGCAGAGTGTGGAGAGGAAACAAGGGCAAAGAGCAAAGGAGAGCTCTCCTGTGTGCTGCTTGTGCATCTTTGGTTGTGCATCTCTTGCATCTCACATGCTGCACTGTCACCTTCTTTTCACTCCAGAAATGACTTGGATTAGTGCTCTTTATACAAGATATACTTGAGAAAAGGGCAAGGAGATGGCCAAGGCAGCTTTCCCATCATGGGAAGTTTGGTGGAGTGGCTGTGTAGGAAAGACGCAGTGAGGGATAGATCAGAGCCATATGCAGTCGTGGGCAGTGTGGACACGAGGGTGGGCAGGACTGATACTCCCTGGCATGGAAACTGGGGCTTCCCAGTGCAAGTGTAGCAGCTTTGACAGGAGAAGGGAGGATTTTTCCATAGAGTGAAGTTACAGTCTTGAAAAGGCACACAATCCCCTGGGTACTGTGAATATAAAAGGTCTCAAAGATGGAAAGACTTTCAGTAAAAAAAAAATTGCTGGTTGCTAACACAGTAGTACGTACAACCTGCAGCCATTGAAATCTGAAAGCAGGGCAGCTCACACTGCCCTGCTTTGGGTTTGTGCCTTAACTAACTCCCTCACCTGCCAGAGCTGGAGACAGGACTGATCCATCTCTGGGCAGGTGCTTGTAGGGTCTGTCCTCATCTCCCTGTACCAGCTCCACAGGGACCTGGCATGTGCAGAAAGGCCAGCACTGGGCTCTGCACAGAGCCTTCCATGGTGATGTTTCCCCCCTCTCAGCCCCTAAATTGTCAGGCTAGCCCAGACATCCGAGGCTGTGAGGGGAGGAATATCAGGACATGGCAAAGATTTCCAACAGAGGCTCTTACCCCGATGTATGTTGGTGCAGCTGTCTTTATTCTGTGGTGTCCAAGGGAAAGAGCAGGGCAAAAGAGAACAAACAGGAAGGGTCAGGGGTATATCCAGGCTCTGGACAGGGAGGGCTCCCTGCCTCTCTGCCATCCCTGTCAGGGCAGGAAGGAGGGGTCCAGGGCTATCTAATCAGAGTCACAGGGGTCCCGGGGAATGGGGAAAAGACATGTCTGAGTGACTGTAACACCATGGGTAGCATTTTCATGGCCATGGCTGGACACAGAAATGAGGAAGGAAGGTCACAGAGAACGGTGGCTCAAGGTGGAGATGTGATATTTTGGGAGAAGTTTACAGGCAGGAGAGAAATTCTAGGAGCTGCACCCATCCTTTCCAGCATCTTGCCCAACACAGTGGGGACTAACACTGCCCCAGGTTAGGGCAAGACTGCATCTCTCTCCTCTTGACTCTCACCTCTCTCATTTCCCCTCGTTCCCTCTGTTTGCTCTGCCTGTGCTTTCTGTGCAGTGGACATGGTCACCCTGGCCACGGCTCTGGAAATCTTCAATGAGCACAACCTGCAGCCCAGCGACCGGGCGATGGACGTGGTGGAGGTGATCCACTGCCTGACCGCCCTCTACGAGCGGCTGGAGGAGGAGCGGGGCATCCTGGTCAACGTGCCCCTCTGCGTGGACATGAGCCTCAACTGGCTGCTGAACGTCTTTGACAGGTACCTGTGCCTCAGTGTCCCCGAGCTGTGGGGCTGCCAGGCCTGAGAGGAAACCTCTGTGCTGCTCTTCCAGCTGGCAGTGCTGCACAAAGCTTCTGAGGGAGGCTGCCTGGGGTGTGCTTGCCTTGATGACTCCCCCTGCCAAAAAAAAACCCACTCTGGAACATTTGCAAACCTGTGCATATCTTGTCCTGCAGCGGCCGCAGTGGGAAGATGAGGGCTCTCTCCTTCAAGACGGGCATTGCGTGTCTGTGCGGGACAGAGGTCAAGGAGAAGTTCCAGTGTGAGTCCCTTGTCTGCCTCCCCTAGAAGCTGGTGTGAATTCACCTCTGGAGAACAGGAGTGGTTTTGTTTCCTGGCCCTTCCTTGCCCAGGAAGAGCAAAGAAACAGCTTTCCTGCAGTGACTAAGCTGCTTGCATCATCACCTCTCCCTCCCTCCCTAGGCCTACGCCACTGAAATTAGGAGGTGTTTTTGTAGACTGACTGGTGCTGCAGTGATCTTGCTTGCATGGCACTGTAAGGAGCAGTGCAGAGAAGGCACGCAGGAATGTTATCCAATGCTTTCCAGGAGGAAAATACCAGAGGGCACATGGCGGGGGTGGAGGGGGAAGTAGGTTTCAGGTAAATTGCTTTCCTCACTGCATTTTAAGCATGGAATATTGTGGAGGGGAATGTTGTGTAGCACAGGGAGCACCAAGGTATTAAATGAAGGGATTAGGCTGATTCATAGAGGACAGGCTAGCTGGGGCTGTTTAATAAATGATGTGTGTAACCCCTATCTTAAGAAGACACTAAACTGGTTATTAGGAACTGGAAGGACACTGGTGGAAGTTATTTAATCATAGCTCAGGTGTTTCCTCGTACCTGAGCTCTGTGCTGGAGGCGGTCAGGGGGTCCCTGGTGTGACCCGCACCCTGCTCGCCGTGCCTGCCTGCTGCTGGGCTGTCAGCTGTGTGTCTGTGTGCCCGCAGATCTCTTCAGCCAAGTGGCAAACGCCGGGGGCCTGTGTGACCAGCGGCACCTGGGCGTCCTGCTCCACGAGGCCATCCAGGTCCCGCGCCAGCTGGGCGAGGTGGCGGCGTTTGGGGGCAGCAACGTGGAGCCCAGCATCCGCAGCTGCTTCCGCTTTGTGAGTGCAGGGCCACGGCCCTGGCCCCGTCTGCAGCAGCTGTGCTGGGGACCTGCACCCCACGGCGGCTGCGTCCCAGCTCTGAGCAGTCCCTTCCTCTCCCTCCCCAGAGTAACGGGAAGTCTGCCATTGAGGCATCCCAGTTCCTGGAGTGGGCCAACCTGGAGCCGCAGTCCATGGTGTGGCTGGCGGTGCTGCACCGGGTGGCCATGGCCGAGCAGGTGAAGCACCAGACCAAGTGCTCCGTGTGCCGGCAGTGCCCCATCAAGGGATTCAGGTAAGGGCTGTGGTGTGGGACCCTGGCCCCAAGGGCAGTGTGTGCTGTCCTGCAGGACAGAGCTGAGTTACTCTGTGCTCCTGGGAGAGCCTGGAGCTCTGCAGCCAGTAGCGTTCCTGGCAGGCCAGAGCAGGTGCCAGCTAAGGAGAAGGAGCAGAGTGTTTTCCTGGGGACTTCAGCCATCAGCACTGTGGGTTCACTGGGGTGTTAGAGCAACTCAGGCCACTCTGTCCCCTCCCACTGACCTTTTCTTGGACTTTAAACACGTGTTTTGATGATTTCCAGTGCTTCCCTATGGCCTCTTAACCTCTCCAGGTATCGGAGCCTGAAGCAGTTCAATGTGGATATCTGCCAGACCTGCTTCCTCACTGGGCGAGCCAGCAAGGGCAACAAGCTGCACTACCCCATCATGGAGTACTACACCCCGGTATGGAGCTGGGCTGGCCTGGGAGGGCCCTGGCCCAGAGCAGGACCCACTGATGACAGCAGTCTTGTGATGTTTAGGCTGCTGCAGCCCCACAAGTGGATCCCTTGTGTGGTTTTGTACCCTCTGCATGCTGGAGGCTGCCTGTGTCCCTGCTGTTCTGGGGCTCATGATGTCTAGGTTTGGAAAGACAGTTGTCTGCTAAGGAAGACAGGAGCCTCCCCTGAAATGGAAAAATGTAGACCCCTTCCCTCTGAATTGTTATAAATTTGAAATTAAGGGGGGGCTCTCAGGCAAAAATATGGGAGCAGGAATAACAGTTCTTTATTAGGGAAGAAAATAAAAAGACAAAATAAACAATGCA